TAATGCGAATACTAAGTAGGGAGATTATTGATGATATGTTTAAGCTCACCTTCACTGAGGCTGCGGTAGTAGTAGCAACGGTGGTGATGATGGAATCTTCGCTGTGCGTTGCGGATCTTTAAGGTTATCGTGAATGCATACAGTGTTTTCAATTGTGAATCGAAACCGTTATTGGAGTCGGCTATTAAACATTGTCATGCATTGGCGGCGATGAATAGGAAGAAGGGGAACGACGTTCGGAGTTGTGCAGTAGGAGGGGGAGAAGGAGGAGGCGTTGGGGGAATGCAAGATTGGCAGGTACTTCTATCAGGCTTGGCTCGGTTCAAACCTGCAGGTACCGAAGAGCTAGTGGAAGTTATACTGTCATCTGCAGCATTAAATGCGGAGGAAGGAGGTCCCGAGAATCGAACTGGGGACCTTTGGATTACCAGCTTTAGGCTTGACCGATCTCGCGTCTATCATTTCGAGTGCTGCACGTCTGCTTACTGTTGAGAATGAGGTGACCGTCAAGGAGGCTGAAGAGAGTGTCCTTGCTGACGTTAGTGAGTGCAGCCTGTGGGAATCGAACCAGGGACCTCTCGGTTGTTAGATACAATCCTCGATAGGATATGTCTATCAACTCCAGAGAGTCTTTATAGTGCAGCCAGTGCCTTTCACACGTTAACTCTATTCGATGGTATAGTCAAGGACACACCAGAGATGATGGAGGCAGCCTCGAGGAATGTAAGGGGACTGACTCCCCTGGTCCTGCAGTCTTGGAATATATGTTCGCTTTCCTCACCTGAATCCAAGCGTTTCCTCACTTGAAGATTTTATATACAAATTCGGGTAGAACTGTGCATAAAATTACCTCAAAATTTTCACACTCCCATAGTGATAGTACGATATGAGGTCGCTGATCATGTACCGTCGCAACTGCGATTGCCATTCCTGCATCATCATCATCATCATCATCCTCATCATCATCATCATCCTTTGATGCTGCTGTTCCCTAAACCATGCACAGTATCATGTCCATTTAGTTCCTACTAGCACTTGATCGAGACTCCAACGTGCTTCGTAGCACAGTGCCTGGTCCGGTACCCAGGATGCGGCTGAATAAACAGGTGGCTCGTATCGCTGATGCTTATGGTGTATGATGTGTTATAGCCACCGGCTCGACGGGAGCCTCCTGAGGGGCCTGAGGAGCTTATGAAGGTAGGCTTCAGTGCTGAGAAAGGTGATGATGATGATGATGAGGAAGATGTCTCTACGATGGATGTGGAGCTGGAAGCAGAGAATGAGACGGAACTAGGGGAAGAGGTAACGATAACGTTAGAATAGGTGAAGATAAGGTATTGGTAGTAGTAGGTAGTAGTAGAGGGGATGTCCGTCCTGGATGCTACTTCGATGATGGGTCTTGGACAAGAGGATGAGGAAGTTGTTAGGGATGATGATGTTATCCTACATAGGCTCCAAAGAGAACGTAATAGTAGAAGATGGTGAGTAGTAGTATGAGGAGGTAATGTGTAGGTACTACTGGGTTGAATAATAAGAACAGACCTGTGGCACCAGTGGATGCAATAGCAGCTAGGAATAGAGTAGTTTCGGTAGTTGCGATAGCTGTGGGTAGTTTGGGTAGAATATGGACACAATTGAATAAGGGAGATGAGGAAGAAGGAAAGAGGAAGGACGACGAAGTGATGGGTAAGTAGTACTCAGACCAGTAGTAGTATCATAATTGCTGGTAGTACCACAACGTCTGGTTACACCTGTGGAGACCGAGATGCTCTCCAAAGCGGAAGACATTATAACCTTTGCATGTCCTGGTCTAACGGCACCACAGCTTGTGAACTGCTTTGAGACGTAGGTTCATAATGACTCTTCTCCTGAGGTTGTTATTGGTAGGTACAGTTTGCATACACCCCATAGGACCCATCATACTGTGCTAAAGGCAATTGGAAATGAGTTGGTACGGAAATGGATACATATAAGCGCGAGTGAGATAAGAAGAATAGAGAAAAGTATTGAAGCATCGAAGTTGAAGCATCAGCAGTTGTCTTTTATGTTGAGAATGCATTCTAATAGGAGGAAGATTCAACTACCATGATGATGC